TATGTGTATGCGTATGTATGTATGTATGTATGTATGTATGTATCTATGTATGTATGTATGTATGTATGTATGTATGTATGTATGTATGTATGTGTATGCATTGCACCAGTGACACATGCCTACCCGGAGTGTGGTCAAAAAATTCCGGACATTTCTCATATGCACAAGCATCTTGCCAAAGCGCACAAGATTTCGCTGCGCTTTGACAGGCAGCAGCACTTCAAGCAAGATTACGTTGCTGTGAGTTCGTGCTCTGGGTTGCGTACACACCATGCCTTACATGGCGAAGGCTCCAAGCTTGTGACCCCAACGGATTCAGACGTTCGGCCCTCTGGGCAGGGCCCAGAGGTCATCAACCACCTGGCACAACGGGCGTTGTTCTCTATCCTCAGACTGCCAATTGTTGTCACTTCCCTCGAGCACCGTCACACGTACTTTCTTCAGTCCAGCTACATCAAGACACATACCAGGACGAAGCATCCACATCTGGCTCAAGTTCTGGCTGACTGTTCCTGTCGACGCCCAAGCCCTGTGTGTGGTGTGGCAAGTCCTACACCAGGCGTGACGCACATATGAAACATTGCCTTGTCCCTTGCGTGTGTATGCTCCTTGAGTGTGTCCTGCATCCCGATCGACCTCCTGCAGGTGAGCCGACGATCCATGACCGTCGCTCCGTCACCTCTCCTCAGCAAGGCGGGCCCGTCGTTCGTTCGGGACAAACCACTCAGTCCGCAGGAGGAAATGAAGATGTACTGCGGCCTCATGGAGTCGATCCAGGAGGCTCAGGACATGGATCTGGAACAAGCCGAGGTGCAGAAGTTGGCAGAGGAGTTTTTCATTCGGAAAAACGAGGAGGCCAAGGCCAATCTATGGTTGGACGACCACGATTGCTGGAACTACTTTCTACGGGACCCGGAGACAAAGCAAAACAAGGTCAGCGCCGAGAACCCTCCGTTATCGCACGCACAGGCCATGCAGCACATCAAGCGCTGGCAGGAGCATTTTCCAATTTTCCAAGCCGAGCGTTGTGCATCGCCTGCGCTCCCTCCGCCCTCTTACGGAGAATCCGGAAGCACAGGTGCTTGCCTTCGTCCGGGACATAGGTCTTCGTGCTTCAGAGGCTCAGGAGGCGTACACGATTCTTCGCACCTTGGGCCAATGCGCGATAAGCCAGGTTGCCTCGTTCAATGTGAGACCGGACAAGCTTCAGCGATCAGCCCTTGCCAACCACATCCAACTTCAGATCGAGAAGCTCTCCTCCAAATGAGGCTGCTCAATCGTGCTAACTTTTGCTACATGCACTCGTTCCTCCTTGCATGGTTGTGGAGCTCGTGGAACATGTCTCATCCATGCCTTCAAGTTGCTGCCCACGCTGAACCGTTCCTGCAATGTCTGCTGCGGGCCAAGGGCCCAATCCACCTTTGTCAAATGCCCACTTGGCAACAGCTGACCGCCAGTTGGAGTCAGCCGACACGGCGGCATGATGTGGCCGAGTTCACCCAATTTCTAACGGCCACTCTGTCGATCTCTCATGTGTCCATACATTGGCAGTCACGCATTACTACAGATGCAGGTTTGGACATTGTGGAAGATGAAATGACATCCATTCTGGGCCTGGGCCTCATAGCAGAGTGCGCTGACGTGCAGGGATTGATCAATACATGGTCTACCCAAGGAGGGGTGCGAGCCCTCAATGAGCCACTGCCGCGGCTTTCCATCGTGCAAATTGCCAGATTTTCAGCTGCGTTGAAATACACAGGTGACATTGACTGTCAACAATATCTTGGGTTTCCGACCTTCGTCCGCGCAGATTCTACGGAAACCACCATTGTCAACTATCAGCTGGAAGCGATTTGCACTCACCAGGGAGAGCTTGCCACTAGTCGTCAGTAACAGGCTTTGTTTTTTGGCCCAGGAGAGGGTGCATACTTAGCTGATGACGATCAGTTCGCTACGCGGCTCGGTGCAGATGACTCTTCTGCCTTGCAAAAGCAGTGTGGCTATCTTCTGTTTTACCGACAGCTCGTGGATGAATGATGGTTCTGTCATATCCTCCTCGTTGTCTGCACCCTCGGAACCTACGGCTCAGGGTGCTTTTGGCTCTCTTGAGCGTGTCAAACGACACGCCTGAATGGCCGGGCGAATAATCGCTTGTCTCGTCGGCCATCGCTAGGCTTGGATCACTTTGCTGCGTCTTCAAAGCCAACAAAGTGTGGAAGTATGCGTGGAAGTATGTATGTATGGAAGTATGTGTGTAAGTAAGTAAGTATGTATGTATGTATGTATGTATGCATGTATGTATATGTATGTGTACGTGTATATGTATATGTATATGTATATGTATATGTATATGTATATGTATATGTATATGTATGTGTATGTGTATGTGTATGTGTATGTGTATGTGTATGTGTATGTGTATGTGTATGCGTGTGCGTATGCGTATGTATAAGTATATGTAAATGTATATGTGTATGTGTATGAATATGTATAGGTACATGTATATGTATATGTTTTCTGTATATGTATCTGTATATGTATATGTATATGTATGTGTGTATGTATATGTCTATGTATATGCTTATGTGTATGTATATGTGTATGTATATGTGTATGTACGTATGTATGTATGTATGTATGTATGTATGTATGTATGTATGTATGTGTATATATATATATGCACATGTGTATGTGTATGTGTATGGATAGATATATGTACATGTATATGTATATGTATATGTATATGTATATGTATATGTATATGTATATGCATATGTATATATGTAGGCAGCGTTGCCAAGCACCCCCTCCCCATGGGTTGGTGTTTGGGGTATATGTATATATGTATGCGTGCATCCAACTTACATGAGCTTGTATGTATTGTATGTATCTGTACATAGAGTGTATATCTATACCTATGTCACGAGTGTCTAGGTTGGGTTAAATGCTTATGTATGTACATGTGTATGTATGTGTCCGCGTCGTTCAGTAAGTAATAGTTTTATTCGGGGGTTGGCCTTGTTGTTCTCGGCCCGGCATCCTTTCCTAGGTTTTGAGCTTTTGGTGGACCCGTCTTTTTTTCCTTCGTTGCCACTAACCCTAGACTCTGAACCAACTCATTTCATAATTTCAAGGTTTGAAATATGCTTTCCATCGTCTCCCGTCAGCGTGTGGCCCATCATCGCTTGTTGGCAGGCTTTGGACATTGGGTTTAAGGAGGAGTACTGTATCTTCTCGTTACGGCATCCTTTTAGGGTGCTCGAGTTCGCCACCCATCATAGTCGTTTCGGCTTTGAATTTACCACACATCTTGTCAGCCATGGGCTTGTGGGTTTCCATGCGGCACCCCTAATTGGGCTTTGGGGGAGAAGCAGTCAAACCTGTCAGGGTTTTCTTGACTTTAAAGTTTGGCTTTACAGTGTGCCACCCGCCATCTTTGAGTTTTTCGTTTAGTCTTGCTGGGTTTACCATCGACCATGAATTAACGCTCATGATAACCTTCTAGATGTACTTCAACATGCCTGCGATGCACGCCTGTGTTGTACAGGTCTGGCACGCCGCACCATGGCGGCTACAAAAGTGGACAGCGTGATCAGCTCCTCTGAGAGCACAGGGTGTTTAGATTTGGATTTCAGTTTTACACAAACCTGTCAACCCTAAACCCCAAACCTCTTCTGACAAGTGTTCTCTCTGAGTTCGCTCTCGCGGCACTGGGAGTATAATCTTTCCGAAAAGAGACCTTTCACCGGTTAGCTTTAGACCCAAGTGCTGAAGAAGGCCAAGACACATTAAAAACGATGTTACAGACTTTAGTGCATACTCGGGCTCGTGTAACTTGCAGGGTCAGTGTTGGCTCGGAGATCTCCGGCCATGATTTCTGGATATGGCCGCGTTCCAGGTGTACTAATCCCTACCTAACCCTAACCCTGAACGCAAACAGCCCTAAACTCTATGAACCCTAAACCCTAAACCCCTGAACCCTCAAAGTTTAGGGCGTAAGCCCTCAAACCCCGCAGCCCGAAAAGCGAACAAAAAACCCCGAACCCTAAAAGTTCTAGAAGCCCTAAACCCTGAGCCCTCAGCCCTAAACACAAAAGGCCCTAAGTCTGTGGGTCCCACAATCTCCCGACCAGATTATACGCTACATGCCTCCACTATGCCAGACGAAGGGCTGCACTATACTATAATATGTTGTAGTACATTATGATATATTAGGGCTTAGGGTTTAGGGTTTAGCGTTTATACTATATTTTAATTGCTGTAGTTTTGTATACTCTACACTGATGTACCAGGACCCCTGACTCGCTTGAGGCCGCGCCATGGGGTCATCGTGAATCGCTACCGAAGGCACTGGGGGGGGGGGGGTTTAGGGTTGTGTTGAGGGTTCAGGGCTTAGGGATTTGGCGCATTTTGCTTCTGTCACCTTAGCCCTAAACCCTGAACCTTAAACCTCTGACGCCCCGTGCTGTCATTGCTTTTAGCAGCTGCAACATGGTAGGAGCAAGAAGAGCTAATATAAGGGCCTTAACAATTACCTATACTATTTTGGCGGTTTCTTATTATAGATATAGTATAATATACCCAAAGCCCTATTCTAATTCTTAAAGCCCCTATATTAGCGCCCTTGAAACCGCTCAAAAAGCACCAGGAGAACCCAAAACCACAAAACCCAACCTCCAAAACCCTAAACCCTAAACTCTGTAGGAACTCTAAGAAGTCTCAATACGCCATTCACCCACGAAAAAGCAGTTGCCCTAAACCCTCAACCCCTAAAGCCATAAAAAAAACCCAAACCAGAGCCAAAACCATGAACCTTGCAGGGACAAGCAACCTGCCGACTCCCCGAAGCAAAGCGAGGCTCTGCAAGCCTTGCAGCTTTGTAGGTGTGTTTAGGGCATAGGTCTGTTTAGGGGTTTTGGGGTTTTGGGGCTTGGGGGTTTTGGGGTTTAGGGGTTTAGGGGTTTGGGGCTTCAGGGTTGTAGGTTTTATGGGTTAGGCTCTGGGGTTTGTGTGCGTGTGTGTTTTCTTTGTTCATGGGGCGTTGTAGGGCTTTAAGGGATTTGGGTTCCGGCTTTGGGTGTGTTGATCGCCGATCATAAGGGCTCTGCAAGTTGTCTTTTTCGTGTTTTGGGACGGGTTTTGCAGGGCTGTGGGGTTATAGGGCATTACGAATTCAGGGTTTAAGGTTAGGGTGAAGTGTCTACTGTTGGGTTAAGGGTTTTCAGAAAACCTCGTATCCTCACTATTCTTGCTGCTTTTGCTACTATGGCAGGGGCCTAAAAAATTGCCCGCGTGATGTTGAGGGCTCCTTATTATAATTATAGATAGTTCAAAGGACCCCACAAACCCTTTTCAAACTATTCAGGCTTCTATAGCAGTCTTTCTCTTCGTGTGTTCTCCCCCAAGTCTGGGGAGCTCCCGGGATCCCCAACAGCTCACAAAGGGCTCTCTCTTTTCAGATGCTGACCCTGTGCCCGGCCTGGGATCAAAGGGGTTAGGGTTTAGGGTTTAGGGCTTAGGGTTTAGGCCTTAAGGTTTACGGTTCAGGGTTTAGGGTTTAGGGTTTAGGCCTTAGGGTTTAGGGTTTAGGAAGAGCAACAACACGAAGGGAAAGACAAGCAAAAGCAGCAGCAAGACCAAGGACGGCTTCGTAACGCTGCAGTGGCAGCACATACCCCCCAGCAAAATCACAGAGGATTCATCCTATTGATTTCCTCAGCCCTATGCCTGAAACCCCAAACTCCGAAGAACCCTAAGCCTCAATCCCAGCCCTCACAGTCAGAGCTCAGGGGCTCTGTAGAAACCCCTAGCAAAGTTTAGGGTCTAGGGTTGAGGGTTTAGGGAGACCCTGAGAAATCCCCACCAGTAGAAAACTCTGTAGGCTCAACAAAAACGACCACGGGAAATTTCAGATGGAGGCCAACAAACACGAAGGCTCCAGCCCCACCCGAAATCGCGCGAGAACGGTCCATTGGGAGATCTCTTTGCGGTTCAGGGTTTAAGAACCCTAAACCCTAGACCCTTTAAGGGGTGAGTAGTGAGGGCTTTACGCTTGGGTGCGTCGTCTTCAGTGCGTTGAAATCTTGACCTCTGCCTGAAGCCGACCTGTAGCCGGAAAGACCTACCTTTTCAGGGGTTCCTTATTATCGCTTCTATATATAGTTCCTGAACAGGGTAAGTCTTTTGGGCCACAGGTAACGTAGGAAGCTCTTCTTCCTTTCTTTTATGCCGGGGTTTCAAGTCAGGGGTTCCTGAATCAGGCGCCGATCTCCAGCCCTGAACCCTAAATCGGTTTAGGGCTTCAGGGTTTATGGTTTAAGGGTTAGGGCTTAGGGTTTATAATTTAAGGGTTTAAGGGTTTAGGGTTTAGGGTTTCAGGATGTCAGAACCCCAAACCTAGCAAAGAGGCCGCTGGAGCGTCGAGGGCCGGCGGCAATGCTGCAGCCGGAGGCGCGAACCCTGAAATCATTCAGCTGATCCGGGGGTTGCTAGAACAGTGTCTAGGAACGTAGTATACTATAACGATACTCAGGAACACCAAAGCGCGAAAGATGAGCATCGGTCAGTACTGAGGCTTCTATGTCAGGTGTTCGAGGTTTTGTGGAACCCCTCAGCCTTAAATTTAAATCCCAGACTCAAACCCTACTCTAAGCCCTAAAGTATACCCTGAAACCAAGACTTCGAAGCCCTAAGCCCAAAGCCCTATACAAAGGCTTTGTTTAGGATTTCGGATTTCGGGTTCTGGGATTTACCGGTGACGTAGAGGGCTCTTGCCGCTTTTGGTCGGGTTTAATAAAAGCTGTCTTCAGGGGCCTTGCTAGAACAACATAGACGCCTAAATAATTATACTACTGTTAGGAATCCTTATAAGGATTATACATACACCCTAAAGAAGCCCAAAACCCTATTAAAATTATTAAGGCCCCTAAACCTTATAGAACCCTTCAAGGAACCCTTTAAAGGAACCCCAAAACCCTGCCCCAAAACCCTATTCTAATTATTAAGGCCCTTACATTAGCTTCGTGGTGCTCTCAGATGGGGCAGGGCCTGCGTTCAGGACTTCGGCTTCACTGCTTTTTGGGCTTGGGGTTTAGGGTTTAGGGTTTGGGGTTTGGGATTTAAGGTTGACGGTTTAGGATTTAAGCCCTATGCCCGACATGAATCCCAAAGCGCGACAACCCAACCAATTCCTAACACCCGCAACTCAAGCCACGAAAACCCTAAACCGGTTTCATCTCGCGCTACCCGGGAAGCATACTGTTCATGCGCATGAATTACTGTTGCTGTTATTGCAGTGATGTTTGCTAGTATGAACATGACTAACATCCCGTATTTCTTGATCATTGCATATTCTACAAGTATGTATCCATCAGTTCTTTTTCATAATCTCCGTTGCAATCCTAAATCCTAAACCATAAACCCAAAAAGCCCGGAGCCGTAAAACCCCAAACTCCATACGCACTAAACCCTGCAAGCCCAAAGCCCTAAAACCCAAAAAACGGCTAACCCAAAGCCCCTTAACCCTAAGGTTTTTCCGATGCCGGCAGGTTTTGGCTTACTGAATGAAGTAGAGAAAGAAATGTACGATGACGCCATCTTTGATACGGGTTACATACGACTCTTCGGTGGAGGGAAAAGGCGCAACAAATCGAGACACTATCCCTCTTCGATTGTCCTAAGCGCCCCCGGACTGTTCACAAGAATTTCAAGGGCATGACCTTGACCCTATGCCCGGACGAATGTAGGGGCCTAAATAGTTAGAATCGGTATTTTGGTGGTTCCTTAGTCTAATTCCTGTTTAGTATACCCCCACACCCGATTCTAGTTATTAAGGCCCCTATATCACAACTCTTCGTCTGTCAGGCAGCTGAGGTCTGTCCTGGTAAGCTTCGGCGATCATCTTTGTAGGCTCTTCGGTGCCAACCCTAAACCTCATTACTATGCCTTTCTTCGTCGCTGTATACTCTTTAAGTATGTACCCATTTGTTTAGCGAAATTCAGTCTCTGTTGCAATCCTAAACACTAAGCCCTATAAGCCCTAAACCGTAACCGCCTAACAGCACGCTAAATGTACTATATAACCCTATACATCCCAATCGCTCTAACAACTCCAAACTAAGCCCCTAAACCCAGAACCCCTAAACCCCTACAAAGCCCAAACCCTAAAAGCCGCAAACCCGAAAAAAGCAGTGGAACCCCTAGACCCTAAGCCCTAAACCCCTAAACCGCTAAACCATCCCTAAGAACCCCAACCCTGAACGCCATCGGCCCTAAAATCCTAAAATCCTAAACCTTGAAAACACCCTGGGAACCCTTAGAACCCTTGAAAGAACCCTTATAGATCCCTTGAAGGAACCCTGAACCCCAAACCCCTACAACCTAAACCCTAAACCCCTAAACCCGTAAACCCCTAAACCACTAAACCCCTAAACCCCTCAACCCCTAAACCCCTCAACCCCTAAACCCCGAAACCCCGAAACCCCTAAACCCCTAATCCCATAAACCCCAAACCCTAAACCCCTAAACCCTAAACCCTGAAAGGAACCCTAGCAGATCCTTTTTAGGTCCCTTATAGGAACCCCTAAAAGGAATCCCTTGAAGGAACTCTAAACCCTCAACCAGAAAAACCCCAAAAAGGGGATCCCGAAAAGGAGCCCTAACCCTAACCCCTAAACTCCAAACCCTAANNACCCTAAACCCTTAAAGGAACCCTCATCAGAGGCCCGCCGGAGCCCCAAGCCCTCGGCGAGCCAAAGGCAGAGCCGGGAGCACAGGACCGGGACGGAAACGTGGGGCTCAGGGTTTTTTAGGGTTTAGGGTTTCGGGATATTAGGGTTTAGGGGTTTTCAGTTTTTTTTGTTTAGCTTGTTTTAGGGTTTAGGTTTTAGTGTTCGTTTAAGGCTTCCTTTAACGGAACTATACGGGTTCCTATAAGGGTTTTAGGGTTAGTAGGGTGTTTTAGGGTTTTGGGGGTCTTTGGGGTTTCGGGTTGGGTGTTTTTGGGTTCAGGCGGTTTTAGGGGTTTAGGGCTTTTTAGAGCTAGGGGTTTTTCGGGGTCTTGAGGGTTTAGGGGTTTAGGGTTTTTAGGGTTTACGGGCTTTTAGGGTTCTTAGGGATTAGGGGTTAAGGATGTTTAGGGATGAGGGGTTTCGGGGTTTGGGGTTTAGGGTTCAGGGGTAAGGGGTTTAGGGTTTAGGGCTTGTCGTAGACTTGTGCGTAGGCGCGACAAGAATCTGTCGAGAGCATGAGCTGTGAGAGCCTGTCTACTGTAGGGGCCTAAATAATTACCGATACTATTTTGGGGGTTCATTGTTATTTTTGTAATAGTATAGTGGGCCCCAAAGCCCTAAACCGTAAACCCAAAACCCTCAACCCTATTCCAATTATTCAGGCCCCTACATTATGGAAGGCTGTTCCTTCTCTCTCTCTCTCTCCCATTCCTCGCATGACTGTTGGTGGTGGTGATGGTGGTAGTAGTCGCAGTAGTAGTAGTAGTAGTAGTAGTAGTAGTAGTAGAAGCAGTAGTAGAAGCAGTAGTANNGGTTTAGGGCTTTAGGGTTTCGGGTGGAAGAGGAGTTTAGGCTGTTGTTTTAGGGTCTACGAAACCTTAATGTAGGAATCAGGGTTCTAGGGCTAGTGGTTCATTTGGTGTGAGGGTTTCTGAATCATGTGCTGCAACTGTTTTGTCGTTGCTGTTGCCATATTGTTCCTATCAGTACTCATAGTAAAACCCTAAACCCTAAGCCCTA